CATTTTTTCCGAGTCATTTTCTAAAACAGAAACGGCTTTATCTTTCTTCTTCCCGCTAGACTATGCTTCTGGTACCTGTTCAATGCCTGGACTTTCTTGTACCTTATCTTTTACCCAGTCATGTAAAATATTATCTAAATTCTCAAGAGTTTCCGCCATTTTAAAACACGGAGGGAAAAACTTTGAAATGATGACGTCAATCGTGCATCTGTCCTCTAATAAATCATAGGCGAGAATCAATCAAAATGCGAGAATAACTTGATTTATTATATATAACAGGACAGACGCATGAAAAACTGACGTCAGTTTGTTTTTGAATACAACAAATTGTCCACTCCCGCGTCATAAATTATACAAGTTCATGTGTGACAATGCGGCCTTATGTGCCACGAGGTACAAAGAAGCTAAGTGAAGTGAAGTGAATGAGCGCGCGAGAATTTGTGCAGTTATTCTAAAACAAACTATTGACAGGCAACTGTGTCACTTAACGTCAGGCCCATCTTGAAACATTTAGCCTTCAAGCTTGAACTATATGAAACAGTCTGACGGTCTCGGTCTAGCCCAATCATAACCATTTTTGCCTGCTTGCTTTTTTGATCAATCACCTTGGTTGTGAATTTTGACTTGGTTGTTCCCTTCGATTTGAAACAAATTTTGCACAACACTTTGACAGTTTCTAAATGTCGAGACACTGCCACCTTAAATGTTTGTATATTTTCTCGTTTCTTCACCACCATAAAGAGTTACGACCAGATTTTTGACTATCTTCAATTCAAATCTGTTAAAACTTTACATATAAATTGTCGGAATTTATTTGTCGGATATGATCGATACCATCGATACAAAGCTTTTCTTGCTTGCCATTCTGACATTTACAGAAATGAGAGCCAATTCAAATACGTTTGGTGTTAAATACTCGAGTGTTTTTTCAGTCAGCGTTATGAGTGAGGTATCAGATATTCTCTTAATTTTAATGAGCATTCCATTCGTTTTGTTGACATATATGATCTAAGTTTATCTACTTGTTTATTTCATACGTACCTGATTACAGCATGATACGTATAAGCTGTAACAGAATCGAGTGTGTATGATGAGTGAAAATTTCAGCAAAGAGAAAGTTAGATGGCATGTACGTGCAAACATGCAAACTCTGACACCAAAGGAAGTGAACGGTGTAATGAAAAAAGCAAGCTTCGAAAGTCTTAACGATCCATTTAGTTAAAGGTTTTTCATTGAAGTAAATGCGATTTATATCGAATCCATTGACCCTTTTAAAGATGTAATTAATCCCAGCAGTTATTAGTTCCCAGTCTTTTCTCTGACCTTCCAATTCAATAAAGGTCTCGAATCATTAGGAATAAAGGAACTGGTCATTTCAGAAAATCGTTTCCACCAAAATCGTAATATTCCCATGAGAAACTATAAAAACTGTATAACAAAACGTAGAGAGAATCTCGTTGTTGATCTCGCAAAAGGTGCTGAACACCCATTTTCTTATTGTAAGAGCAGTATCCGATTGTAAAGTTATTGTCAAGTATTACTGTATAGAAGTGTGGTGAAGAATGAAAATCGTCGACAAGGAGATCTTGATGTTCAACTAAATTCTCATTACTGCCGATAAAGGAAATTTTGTCAATAAGTGGGAAGAACTGATTTCTTGACAATGAAGTGAACCAGAGTAACACCGACTTGTTTGAATATATTACAACCTTTCCGGAGTGACAAATTCAAAATCGTTCAGTTAAAAAAAAAAAAAAAAAAAAAAATACCGTATATGTGACTTTCGCCATTCGCTGATGGATTACTTTGTATTAAGAAAGTGCCAATTTGCACCACTTTAGGCAGTTTTCATCCACAGACACTACTTAAGCTTATTGGCCGGTAATCTTTTCTGAATGTTTGATTATGGAAATATATACAAATTTAGATCATGATGGCGTACAGGAAACCGGGGGTGGTTAATTGATTAATTTGACTGAAACCGTTGTTTAATTAACGTAGCAAATGTTCGACTTTTGCGGTATTTAAATCATCTTTGTAAACTTAGTTCAAAAGTAAGAGATACCCCAGTAACGTCAGGATAACGTTTGTCGGCATAGATAAGCTGCAGATCTTGTGATAAGAAAGCAATCCATTAGTCAATAAATTTTATACAATTTGACTGCTCGAAAACACATCAACACCTCGGGCTACCAGCTCAATCACTCCGCAGTGCCCCAAGGCACCTCAAAATCAAGGCAACATGTTGCGCCTGTGACTTTCGGAGAGTAACGAAAAATGCGCATTGTTTGAACATCATTTACAACCAAAACGGATTACAAGTTCTTGACCCTTTTATTGTCCATTAATTCGGCTCTTTTAGAGCTTTCGCTAATCAAGGATTTCGCCATGCAAACATCCGGATCTAAATATTAGCAAATCGCATATAACATTATGAATATCTAAATGAAATATTTCTGGTAGAACGTCAGGTTTTCCACCAGGAACTACATCAAAACTGGCAAACACAAGAAAAAAAATGCTCCCGCCATAAATGAACGGGTCAAGTGTAAATTACGGCATCCAGCGCCTCAAAATGTTCACTTGAGTAAGAACAGATACTTCCCAGTTTTAAGTACGGCATGGTTCAAAGCTCCGTTGAGCAGAGATCAGTTTCGATCATGCCCTGTTCGTACCTGAGTCCTTTCAAAGCCATATAACTTAAGCGTGTTCCAGACGATCTAGTCATTCCATTTGCACACTCGTCGCCGCTCGAAGCAGTCACAAATATTTGGGGCGAAAGGTTTGAAATTTTATTTCTGTGGGTGTCGTTTACATCTGATGCCGTGAAATTCTGCATATGCAACGTTCTAGCAATCGATGTTTCTGTATCAGACTGGCTGTTTTCAACTTTGCCACTAAATGAGTTGCTTCTTCGTATGGGCCTCCCTTGATATCCACTCGCAACCGACTTACAGCCATCGCTTCCAGTCGCTTCCTTGTGAGCTTGCTTTGCTCCGTGTCTCCAGTTCAATAAACTACTGAAAGACTTGCTTCGTTTAGGTCGCCTTAGTCGCCTTGGCTTTGTTATTTTCTCGACATGCTCTGAAACTTGACTTTTGGCCGCAACACGATATGACGCTGAACGAATCTCCGGATCGTTTCCCTCGCCCTTTCCGTTCTTGCTGCTCCTGATCCCATCGACACGATTCTCTTTTACACTTTCTTTGATGCTATTTTCGGAGCCATTCCTACGCAGCGTTTCGTGTTTAAGATTAAGGTCCTGGTTTGGACGTGAATATTTCGCTAAATCGGAACGACTCTTGCGAGAAAGAACTGGTCTAAGGGCAGCCTTGATCGAACTTCGACGCTCTTTGCATTCCACGTCTTCGTCCAATTCATTCCTCGAATGCCGCCTTTGCCTAGCTGTGTGCGCGGCATCGCACGATCCATCGTTTTCTAAACTATCCTCGCTTTTCTCAGCCTGACGGTCCAACGTTTCTTTGGTTGCTAATTCATCCGTGGAACAGAACACATCGCTGTCGCTACCAGACGGAGATCTGTTACGCATCCGAAGTCCGAGTTTGGAAATCTCTTGGCCAAGTCGACGCACTGCAGATGTCATAACTGAGCGGTCGTCTTGTTTCATTCTCTAGAATCCATCCAAACAGACAGTCAGATGCAATGCTAAATTAAGGCAACTATACCAGTGACCTCAAATAAAAGCCTTAAGTATATCGGTTCCTGTTTATATTGTACACTATTGTGTCCTGAACTGTTTTGTTAAGATTCCGCTCTTGATAGATCACTCAGTAACCAACACACTGGAAGTTGTACGTATCAACTTGAATACCGCTTTCTAGTCAGGTTTCTTTTCATTTCCGTTTCTCGGTCTTGAGCGCAATGGCTTTAGAAAGATATTTATCAACCAAAGAATTACCTATTTTTGGCGCAAAACCTTTGAGTGTTTTGCAATTGAAGACCAGACAAATGAGACAATGACCGTGGACAACAGGTTTTCCTTGTGTTCATGGATATTCAATCAGTCAGCGTGAGTTGTGTATTGTATTTCGTGACGCACGATCACTTAATATACTCCTGATATCAGTTTACAATGCTTAAATGTTCAAGTGACTTGAGTAGTCTGTCGCATGACCTCCACCCAGACGGTACTATCAGAACACTGCTGGGAGATAAAAATAGCCACTAATCCCATTAATATGATTCAACAAACGACTTCTTTGCCGATAACAGATTGGCACATGGACAGCAAAATCAAGGTCACGCAATTACGCGCAAGTGAGTCGAGTGTTTATCGAAGTGTGATGCAAGTTTCGATCTGTCCAAAAGTAACTGTTTTAGAACTTGCTTGAAAATATGAGTAGGGTGACTGTTCAAAATGATCCTTTCTCGACAAGAAATAAGATATTCATGTCATGTGTTCTAAGACGGCTTTCAGCGTGGGTATGGCATTTTGGCATGATTTGCCTATGTTTTCTGTCATGTGTAGTGGCATGTCGTCCCTCTGCCGACTCCCACTCATTTTAATGACCTCCTCCATCTCGTATCGTCTCTGACTCAAAATATAGCTTGAGAAAAGGCACATTTCTTCTAATAACATAAAATAATGATGCTTTGATTGGAATATGATCAACTGTTAAGTTTGTTTTTACAGCAACTGAACCTACTTGGTGGAGCACAATACCAGTCATTATAGCTACTAATATAACCATGTATCATTAAGGTGATATGGAAAAAGCGATATTGCACATGCGCAGCCCGTGACACTGTCCCTTAAACTAATACATTTAACAGCTCAAGAGAGTTACTCCACATTGTTCAGGTTAGGCGGGATCAGTTGTTCGATGAAGCAATCAAACCTCAGAGCATTAAATCCTTAGTCAAACTCCAAAACAAAGAGCTCGAAAACTCGCTCCCATTCTACTCTTCATCAGTTCATACTCGTATTGACAGTCTTAATAAACTTCCGCGTCTCGTGTCAAATATTCGTTATGCCTGTGCATGTCGTCAGGTGCGTAGATACGGAGATATAGCAGATATCAGCTATGAATGTAATTAGCAAATTAATTTGGAATTTCCGGTGGGTTACTTGGTAAACCGCGAAGTCAGTGAAGGTTCACGAAAAAAAGACGGCAAATCTGCGTGCTAATCCAGTCTTTATGAACACAAAATTTTCGAATAAATGAATTGGTGACTGTATACTTTTTTTTGTTTCATATCAAGGCCGAACCAAGCTTGTAATATGCTGTCCATATTATGATCAAAGCCTATTTTGGTAATAGATAGCTATCCCTACTCTTCCTTTAATTCAGTGAGTGCCACTCTACAAGATGAAAGACTGATGGATCTTAGTGTTTCTAGAAATCTTGATTAAGATTAAAAATAAAACTGTCGATCATATCCACTTAGCGAAGTACTGATCCCGTGCAGTGTACTAAATTTGACCTGTTAGTCTAACATTAAAATGCTTTTCTTGTTTCTTGCCACTACGCTAAACTTTCATTTCTTCGAAGAAGTTTCAAATCTGAATGGAAAAGGAGATTTTTTTCGAATCATTTATCAGCACACAAATGAATAGATGTAAGCGGCTGGTAAATATTCTGTCGTTAAATAGTAACGCATATATCCACTCAAAAGTAACAATGAGTAGCTGTGGTGTGCAGATAACCGAAAAAAAAAAAAAAAAAAAAATCACTCAATATAATTTTTTTCTACCTGTAAACAATTTTGTAGTTGTCATTGAACGGGTGTTAGGACCCCACAACGTTTCTAGCTGACACAGGTCTCTGTCAGTTGGTGACATCATACCATGAAAGTATACCTTAACACATCATACCATATCAAGCATTTTAATCTAAATGAACTCTTGCGTTCATTTCAGACGTACATCTACTAACCGCTAGGACGTGAGACCAAGAGGAAGAAATTGCTTCAAAAAGAGTGAACAATGCTTTGTCTGTTTGTGATGATAGGGCAGCTGGAAAATTTGAGGCAACAAGCGATAAAGCAAAGAAGTTGTGGTTCCAAAAGCAGTACATGTAGACAAAGTAGTCCACAAAATCTGAAAAGGGTTATTGTAAAGAATGCCGTGATTTTAGTGGCGAAAACCATTTCTCATCAATATTTCCAAAAATGTGAACATAATACCAGATACTACTAACACTTTGGTTGTTATTAACGTCGTCAAAAATGTCATTCAAACGCACTATACAAGTAATCGTCCGCCATCTTGAATCCGCTCTCTCAGATCCGCCATCTTGTATTTCTTAAAATTTATTTTTCTCATAAAAACGTGGAAAATGAGCAAGTACACTGAAATAGTCAAACGTTAGTCAAAGACAAATCTTAAGAAATAATTAATTTACTGTACAGAGACAGAGAGACAATTTTATCACAAAATCCATCAGCCATCTAAGATTTTCATCTTTTCCTAAAATGGTCCTAATTATAATGAGCAGTTAGATTTAATAAGATACATTGATGCTAAATTAAGAGGAAAAAATACAATACAGCAAACAAAGGTTTGAAAACTACTTTCTATTCATGTGTACAAGAATGGTACACTAGAATAGAGGGGTACATTTAACTCTGTGGTATTCCATAGTTAGACACTACAATACACTAGAATTCATTAATTTAATGAAAATCTACTGAAAATTAGAATACCAAGTGTACACCCATTGTTAGAAACCTTATTCAAACCTTTTACCTTTTTCTTAGCTCCTTCTCACCTTTCAAAAATTTCTTCTGCATGTCTGACTACTTTTACTAGGATGTTCACTACATTTTTACAGGTATAGGTTTGTGAACATAGACTAAAGATGTGTCAAATATATATAATCTATGTCAGGTGCTACAAAATGGAGTTTCCACTGCCAACTCAGAGATGGACAGTTTTGACACAACCCACTCAAAGATGGGCAGTGCTATGTATGCCAAGAAAATATATTGTTTTCATTGATAAAAAAACACCTTGTGAATGGAGGCAATGTAAGGTTAAGACAATTCAGTTATTATTTATGGTGGTTTTTAAGATTCAAGCTTCTCAATGACGTCTTTATTCTTCGACTTGATTTAGTATTACAGTTGAAATAGCAGTGCAAGGTAATGTTTGTGGTTGTTTTTATCGGTGGATGGTTATTACGAAAATCTAAATCTAATTTACCAGCCAAATATGCATGTAGATGATATGTATAGATATAGTAACCACCTTTAGTTAGGAGGAATCAGGAATGCTCAGGCAATAACTACTTATTTCAACAAATGTTGCTCCAGTTGCCAAAGAAGGATTGGAAATTACCCTTGACTGAAAGCAGTGAATATTAACATGCAACAAATACATATCCACACATCATAAAGCAGTTGGACTGTCTTGACTTTGAAATATTGTTCAGATCACTTAAGCTGTCCGTGAAGATTAATGTCAAAGAAATTAAGAAGGAGCATTACTAATATACAGTCAAAAGTAAAATAAATAAATAAATAAATAAGTTAAATGGCCACTTATTAAATGGCCACCTCTATTAGGCAGTCTGCAATCAAAGTCCCGATGAGGGCTAATCTATTGCTTTTTACCTCTATTAAGCGGACAACCTCCTTTAAGCGGCCACTATCCATTTCCCCAAGGGTGCCTTTTTAATAGGGGTTGAACTATATCAGGCAATACTATATACAATTTAACCCACGCTACAACTTAGTGTTTATTTTCCTTTGTTCTGGTTTATGGTAATATATTATAATGTAAAAGGTTGAACCACAACACAACACAGAAATACTTGCAAGCACAAAGACCTATAATGGCATTTCATAAATCATAATTACAAGTTCTAATGATAACCTTAGAAGACAATCGTGTTCAAAGTAATTAATGTACTAGTATCAGTCGATTCCAAAATTCAACATCCCTCCCCTCTTGCAATTGCCTCAGGCACCATGCGGGCATTAACAAATTCTGAATTTTTAGTTGATAAAATTTCCATCTCCTGGGCCACAAAAGGTCAAGGGTCCAAGTGTCCCACCTTAGTGTCATACTTATCACTATGCAATCAAATGCCCCAACCCCTGGGACATACATAGGAAATATAAGTAATGGGAAAAAAAATCATCCTAGAACACCCACCCACTTTCAGCTTCCACTGGGCTGAATAACTTTTTCATGCATATTATTAGACTATACAAACAAAGAATTTTTCACAAGGGAGACTTTCTATTCACCTTTAAAAACTGTAAAAACTCTTTGAAGGAATTGTGTTTGATCCACAACATACCCTGTATAAAAAAAACAGTGGTCCTTGGGTGTGCCTAATCTACAATATTTAATCATGGTTCCAAAAAGATGAATTGCAATCCCTCCTGCCGTTTACACTTCCGCTTCCCTTCCCTCCCCAAATAGTGTCAAATTCCCCATCCCAATATTAACCACCAATGTCATATTCACACACCGGGGTCCATCAACTAGTCAAATACCTGGGGTATGCCTGGGGTGAGGAAATGTTGAATAAATAATTGCCTATTTGTCACGATCAATATATAACTTTCATTCCTTAGCAAATTATATATATATGAAAAAAAGAAATAAAAGTGATGTCCCTTACCTGAAAATACATGTTGTCACTAAGCCAGTGATATCCTTCCTTTGCTTCCTTAACCATAATACGCCTTTCCAACTGCTTTATGATAACAGCAAACAAACCAAAAAAAAAAAAATGTGAGTGTAATTTATTATGACAAATAATTACAGTTTCGCGAAGAAATGTTGCAGCAATAATAGACAATTTTAAAGTTGACTGCTCAGTGACCTGGCCTTTGAATGGCAGCGAGGGTGGAAGTGACCTTGTTTGATACAGACCTCACTACTTTTGTTGTGTAAATCAATTTGTTTAAATGCTGATCAGTTTGCATTTAAATGAGAAAAGCAGAGAGGTTTATGTCAACTGACAAGGTCACCTCCAACCACAACCACCTCCACACCTCCAGCCTGAGGTAACTGAGCACACAGCTGTAAAATGGCCTATTTTAACATTCCAGACTAACAATTAATAAAGCACGTATTCGGCAGAACAGCGCGTGTGGCAAGATTTTTGTCTAGCACCATACATTTATTATGCATCAAGTTCTTTGTCCACATCTTTAAAATATACAGTGTTCACATGACTTGCACGTCTCTTTACTACCAACGAAATGAGGGAAAACAAAGGAACTAAACTTCACATTCGTCACATTATTTGACCCAATCTTAAATTTAAAATGTCTTAGGCTTACATATAGGAATAAACCGAAACGTGATTCGTGCAAATTATGTGAGCTTATCAGAGCAAGACGATTAAACAGTCTTACCTTGGTAAAAAACAACAACAACAACAACAACAACAACAACAACAACAACAACAACACTCAAGGCTAACGCGGGCGTATCGAACTGAGACCAGCTATTTACACGACGAACACTGCCCCCTTTAGTAGCAAACCTCGAGACCGTTTACAAATTAAGCGCCAAAACCGCTTAAAGGTATCTAAACCAAAGAGGAGGTCGGGAATAATTTACATTGCGCATGATCTGTTCGCAACCAGTACCTCACGGCAAGACCGCCGCTCATCATGCATAGTCTGGTCGCCTGTGTTTACTCGTGTGCCACTTTTTTGATCTTATCACATTTTGACGTTATGTATATCTGTGATCTATTACTAAACAAACGCATGTGAAAACTAATCAAAATGCGAGATTATTTCGACATATTTTATAAGTTAACAAATAGTTCCATGCTGCCGTGCGTCTGCACAGTAATAGATCACAGATGACGTCAAAATGTGGCACACGAGGCGATAGCCAAATTTTTGCGTCTTCTATAATCTATTACTGAACAGAAGTCAACATCGACACGATGCAGGCCATTCGCTTTGAGCTTTGAATGAGGAGCGTTGGTGAAGGTGGAAATTTGTGTCCTCTGCGGTTGGTGATTCTCAAGTGCTTTTGACATAGTGTCGGAGACGCTTTCTAGCTGTGACACAGATGGCCGTGAACTGTAGTGAGCTATACTTTGCTCGCTGCTTTGCCCTGAAACGAACTGGAACATTCGCGTCGGAAAACAAGGTTACGTGTTTATTTTAAGAAGGGGTGTTGCAATCTTTTTCTTTCCCGGCACCAATCTGAGTAAACAATTGCTTTGAGATTTGGTTGTTTAAAAAAGTTATCAACATTTTGCCTATTGGAGGCAAATTCGAGGCAAAACAATGATTTCTTAACTTGAAATAATTTCAAGACCAATTCTGTGTTTTGTTTACTCTCACTCGACTGGGGACTGAGAGTGCTCGAGTATTATTATTTTCTGAGTCATTTTCTAAAACCGAAAAAAAAAAAACAGTCTTTTTTTCAGTTTCTTCTTCCTACTTCTCGTACCTGTTAGAAGCCTCGACAAGACCTTTTTTTACCTTATCGTTCATCCAGTCACGTAAAATATTATCTAAATCCGGGAGCCATAATCGGGGACGGAGACCGTAAGCGCGCGCCATTTCTAGTATTGGGGCTGTCCCTATGATATGGGACGATTTTCCTATTTTTTAGAACAAATTCCGCCATCGCCTGCGGCACATGCGCGTGCATGCTGCGAGAATTTTTGCGGACGTAGCGCGGGGAAATGGCGTCCGAAATTCCCGAAATGTTTGATGCTTTTGGCCCACAACTCAATACGTTCATGTCTGTTGGAATTTTACTTCAGTATTTTCGTCGTAAGCTGCTTCAGTTTGAGTGAACATAATTAACTTTGGAGTGAAGTAAGGCAGTCTGTGTCCAATTTAGTTATGTCCTGCTTTATCTCACTGACCAAGATATGTTCCGCTGCTTCTTTTACAAGAGCTCCATATTAACTCCAAGCTCTAAGTTTCACATATGTTGAAGATTAACAGCTTTTCCATAACACAGCGAAAAAACCATTTGGATTTATTTGGATATAGTACCGTTTCAGGGCCCTCCGCTTGCCACACGCTTGCGACGATTTCGCCAGAGTCTATCTCCACCGAAAAGATATAAATACAAGTTTGAGTTTCGCCTGAATTGTAAGCAACGCTTGATGTTTTTTTCAAGGCCCAATAAGTTACAATAACGTTTATGTCTGTAGATGCTGCTCAGTTTTGTTTGTGTAAAAATCCAATAAAGAGAGCCCGCCGACGCGTGTTTTGTACAGTCAGTAAAACATGACAAATTGGACTTCCGCTCTTTCGTGTGAAAACGTACATAGAACTCATATAATATCTCTAGTTTTCAAATATGTTTAAGGTTGATAAATGTTTGAGAACATATTAAAAGCTTAGCTGAAAATATGTGAATACAGCAGAAATAATCAGCAAAGTTACGATGACGCTTTCTTTTAGTTATCAAAACTCCTTGTCTATTTTATTTTCGCAGTGTAAAATTTCAGTCACTATGTTAAAGAAATACACATGATGTTAGTAGCTTTTGGCGTTGGTAAGAATTGTTGCGGCATCTCAGCACAAAACACAACGAAAGAAATCTTTCTCAAGATTTGTTGACTATTGAAAACACCGACTCGGATTTAAAAGTGCACGCGCTACACTATGCAAATGAGCTACTTATGTACGCGTCGGACTTTCCTTTCCAAAACTCTTGCAAACTCGCCAAACGAACAGAAACAATAAGCCTATCAAAAACAGGGTTTGGTTATGATTAAGCATTGTTTGGGAAACTCACAAATTAACTCGATACCAGAGTAAAGAATTTTTCTTGCACAACTTTTTTTTACAGAGCAAACGCAACATCTTACTCTAGCGCGAGCAGATATTCGTTATTCATTCACAGCGCGAAATTGAAGTCTTGTTTTCGACCCTGAAAAACTCACCTTTTCCATTAGCTCGTAAAATAAATTAAAAAAAAAAAAACAGAGGGAAACTGTTTGTTACATTGACGTCATATATGCGTCTGTCCTGTGATAGATCATAGATGAGAACTTATCAAAATGCGAGAATAATTTGGCTTATGATGTAATCGGCTACGCCTCGTTGACTATTCGCTCATTGAAAACTCGGGCTCGTAGTCTAATAGATCCTTCCCGCATTCCACTTGAGTACATACGAACAATAGCTCCAGAGCGAGGTTGGGGTGGGCATTTTCATACATTTGCTTTATTTTTGTCCACCGTGACCTCGACTCGGTGCCATTGTTTGTTGGAATGCGGGAAAGGTCTATTGCTAAATTAAGTACATTTCTATTCACAGACCGTCACAGAAACAGTATAAAGAGCGCCAACGTGTATCCTTTCAGCGGATACGCATCCCCCTACGAAGCCGTGGTGTTTTAGGCCCGGAAGGGACAATACATTTTATTTTACCCTCTGATCCATGCAATAAGTGAACCGACACTTCATACTATGACGTCAATTCATTACCATATATCAAATTGATTGCCTGATCAAACAAAGCAGGCCATCCAGGAAATGTCTACTCAGGTCTACCTTATTGAACGTTGACGAATGTAAATCAAAAGCATAAAATGGAATTTGTTCAGTGATTTCTTCGATTTGACTCTGTTTGAATATGTTTCAAACGATTGCAGTCGAACCCCGCGCCATTTCGATTTCGAACTGTTATAGGAAAAGACTGAAATGTAGTTTGAAATAGAGAGGTTGGGATCGAAAGTCAGCGTTGATTTGATAAAAATAACAATTAGCGCGTTACAATTCATAATCCTCCATATGCATGTCACATAGCTTCTCAAACTCATTTAATAATTCATCAAGTTTAAACAAAGGAAATCATGACCGTGACGGTGTTTGGATAGCCAGATAGCTGATCTTAATTCTTCATGAATTATACATTTTCTGCTTAGTTCAAGACAGCGGAGTTTAACCATATTTCCAAACATCTCGAAGTTCGTCAAAAATAATCCGCTGTTCGTCGTATTTTCAACTCTCTTATCGATGTTTTGAAATGTGGTCAAACACGGTCTTTCGTGTCTGACATTTTCCATGAAGGGATCACTTGGACCTTACTGCCAGCGTTAAGGCGGATTGTACACAGCGTTTTTATTATTATTATTATTATTATTATTATTATTATTATTATTATTAGTTATAGGATATCGGTTTTTTTTTATCTTCCTTAAGAAAAAATGCACTATAAGCATCGAAACAGAACAGTAGGAGAATAAGTTGATAACAGTGCAAGATCAAACTGTGTACAAAAAGTCGACATTTAGTAGCCCATCGGCGTTCTGATATGGTTTAATGTTTTTTTCTTTTACCTCTACCATTAGAGCCCGTAATAGAAGGGG